TTCCAATATTCATTTGGATAATCACAAATAAACAAACCAATAAAAAGAAGATATATTTAAACCAACAATTCATTATTTAATGTGCTTTTTTAGGCATAAATGAGCACTATAACTCATTAGGTATACGTCCTCAATTCCTCATATATGAGAAAACAAGCCATTTGGAGCTTGCTAGCTAATTACCTAATTTGGTGGTTGCTTACATAATTATAGTAGTACTATTACCTTTAATTGGATTAGCTTAACTTTGCATAAGTGTGATTTACGAGAATGATTTTAAATTTTTAACCTTTCTACCTCGTTTGCTGAATATGCGAAACATTAAAGGCAATAAATTGACAAATTTCACAAATAAGGTTCGCCTGTAAAATAAGTAGGAGATAAAAATTCAAGATCATCAATTCGTAAGGTTATTAAGTTAAATATCTTGCTTGTAAACATAGATATCAAATGAACAAATTAAACTGAATTTGAATGCAATAAAATAGGCTAATTAATAAATAGATGCGTTAGTGTTTCATTAAGGGATTTTTAAAATGAATAAATTTGTTCTTTTTGGTCTGAGCTAAGGATAAGGGGATTAGAGAGAATTATCCACATGTTAATTAAATTAGATCCTTAAACGTCTCCATAAACAACTAATTAACTGAACCTTAATTCAGTGGGATCAAACATAAGATAATTATAATATCTATAAGGTGACGTTAAACATATATGTTCGTGGTAGTTAATTATGGATTGGTTCTTCTTAATCAATTAAATTAAACTATGTTAAAGTGAAAAAAGGTTGGAATATCTATAAAATAAAATAAAAAGTTCTTGAGATAAGAATGATTTAGATAAACTATACTACTTAATCAAAATTTCTGACGTACGTATAATATAAATAATCCAAATTTTATCACAAAATTAGACCCTACCACTAATTTAATGCAAAGATGATCGTATTTGTGAAAAGCTGATGTTTAGAAGAGACTACAAAGTAATATATAGTGGAGGGAATTAATAATCATAGGAAAAATGGAGGGGCTATTGGGGTGGTAGATTAGGTATATAGTGACAGAGTCAGAATTTTTACTAAAGAGATTCAAATATAAGAAGTAACAATACGAACTAACTGGAAGGGGTTCAACATGTATTATATATACATAAAAATAATTCTAATCATATATAAATCGTATAATTTTCCATCGATAGAAATTTTTCATAATTCCTAGCTTTGGTGGCCTTTTTGTTTGTTTCTAGTCAGTTGGTGCATAGAATTTGGTTATATGTAACACTTAGGACAAATATATTATTATATAATAATGTAGTGATGTATTTCAATCGAGCTAGAATTTATTATTTAGTGATTAAAAAGGAATAGAATTACGAATACACATATTTAACTTGTTATAGCATACTTATTATTTATTTTAGGATATTATTGATGTTATTAAACAAAATGGTTATTTCCTTTGTCTCAATTTATGTGATACATGTCATTTTTTTAGAGGCAGACAGTTTAAGTTTGATCGATAATTAAATTTGCTCATTGAATCTTCAAATTTTTTAAAATGAAATTTATATATTTATAAACTACGTAAAAAGTATTATAACTCACAATAATTGATAATTCAAAATATTTAAAAAATATATGAAAAATTAATGATCAAATATAAACTTATTTGAATCTCAAAATCTGATATCCCATAAATTAAATTAGAACCGATGGAGTACTTAATAAATTATCTGATTGTGAATATATCTGCTAACATTACTTATAAAACTTATAAACTCATTTACAAAAATAGCAAAAAAATGTTTAGCTAAACTTTAGACCTAGTCAATGCCTCCTTAAATAAGCTATTAAATTGACTAGACTGGCTTTAATATAAAATTGCAAAATTGTTGGGGAGGTAATTAAAACTTTTCAAATTAAAAATAATTTGGAAGTATTTTGACTTGGTCAATTCTTCCTTAAATAACCTATTTAATTGTCTCATTGACTTAATCTAAAACTCCAAAATTACTGGGGAATCACTAGATAGTAGATAGGTATGTGCACAAAAAAATAATACTCCTCCCTCCTTCCGATTTTATATGTCACCTTTTTACTTTGCACTTGCATTAAGAAATGATGTAACTTTACCGTTCTACCCTTATTTAATTTTTTTGGAACTCAAGTTTTCAATCAATGAATATGAATTAATTTATTTTGATTAATTAATTTAACCAATGAACATTAATCATTTACTTAGCTTTTCTAAGTTGGTCAAATGTATATTTTCAAGGCTAATAATAACTCACAAGGGTAAAAAAGGAACAATATGGTAATTTATGCATTGATTTTATTAAATGACAAGTATTATGGACTAACTATTTATAGAAAGGGATGACATATAAAATGGGACGGAGGGAGTATAATACTTATTTTGAAAAAAAAATTCATCAAAATAATTTATTCTTAAAAAATGGTTACTTTTGAAGAGATATAATGTGTTTGTATAAAAAAAAAATTAGAAGTGTTTTTAATTTCAATATTTGATGAAATTAGACTTGAAGACCTTATTCACCAATAAATATGAAACTCTTTAACATCTTCCAACACATCTAGAATTAAATAAAACATATGAAACATAAATAACATTATGGTATTAGGGTCCAATATAGAGTAACCAAGAGAATCAAAATGGAACTTGGTTTAATATTAATATCATGTTAAGGAAATAGATTTTGACAACAACAATTAAGCTTAGGTTAAAAGGTTTGGAGGTAACCTATCATTGTTTAGTTCCCTAATCAGTATTATTATTATTGCTATGTTATTTTATTATTTATTTTTAGTATTATTTATTATTTTTCTTGCTTAGCTATTGTATTGTTGCAACTTGTTCTTTTCTTAATTGTTTTCAGTATGATTTCTTCACTAATGTTTCTGCTTTACACACTTAATTTATGGTATACTTTCTTTTAGCCACTGATCTATCAAAAACACTACCTCCGTAAGGTAGAGAAAAGGTGTGTACACCACCCTTTCCAGATCTCCTATTACACTAAATCTATTATTATTGTTGACAATTTCAAAAATTAATTCATGAATTTGTTTTTATCTAAAATCATATTTCCCTCCGTCCTATTTTATGTACTACCTTTTGATTCGATATAATATTTTTAAAAAAAATATAATTGAAATTTATGGTCTAAAATAATCTTTAGATATTTATATAATTGTAAATTATTTCATTAAAAAATAATTTAAGTCAAATCAATTCTAATTATAATATGACTTTTTTTAAGACAGACTAAAAAGAAAAAAATGTCACTATCCTTTTTAATCTATCACCAACCAAGGTGAGAGTACTCTTGAACAGTACTAAAGTTGAATCTGGCAAAGAAAGACAAAGTTGAAGATAAAATGAATCAATTCCAGCCAGGTAAGATTTTATGGGAAAAAAATTCTTGTTGGATAGGTTTGTCTTCAACTCCATCCATCCCTTCATTTAACATTAGCCCATCACACCTCCCATCCTATTGGGAAGCTGAAATGAGGAAAAAATACATCAAAGTAATGACAAAATATATTTCTTCCGTCTTAATTTATATGATATTTTTTTCTTTTTAATCAATCTTTAAGAAAAAATACTTCTTTCGTTTTAAAAGTAATGACCTATTTTCTTTTTTAGTTTGTTTAAAAAAGAATGATCATTTTCCATCCACTTTTGGCAACGACTCTTTAATTCCAGATGTCCACATAGCATGTGTAAGTCCACAAGATTAAAGAGTATTTTGATAAATATGACATAATTTTAATCTAGGAACAAAAAAAAATTAAATGTTTTTTTTATTTTCTTAAATTTTGTGTCAAATCAAACTAGATTAAAACAGGGGGAGTAACATATTTTTATATTTAGGAACAATTTAATTTTACTTATAATAAGATGATTTATAGTCACACAAACATCTATATTTTAATTTAGATCAAAAGTTTCAATACTCTTTTTTCTTTCTTTCTTAACATGCGTGTCAAATCAAATAACATCACATAAATTGAGACACATAGCTTTTCTTTTGTATCTTATCTGATACTAGTACTACATCAAAATCTCCTCTATTATTTGTTGTCGTCTTTTAAAACATCATCTCAATCCAGATAAACATCAACAAAGAAAGGATGCCAAATACCACTGTTATGATCAGCATTCAAGCTATAAGCTAGCACCAAAGCTCAGGGGGGATGAACTTACACATGGTCCACTATCATGTGAACATTACCAACTTGTTCATAAATCCAAACCCCACCTACAATCCACAACACATACATAGATACTGATTCATTTGGATATTCTAAATCGGGCTCTGTTTCAAGCATTCATTACGTAGATAAGTTAATCACTAAAAATATATCACTTTTTTTAATTATGTATGTTAATCTCAATAAGTCGTGAAGTTATTCATGTATACTCCAGATGACGTTAATGTACATAATTAAAGGAGGAGACATATCTGACTTGTGAATATGCTCAAATCTTTTTTGAAATATAATCAGAAGTGTCTAATAGAAATGCTTATCATGTTCAGATGTTTAATTGAAGCAAATCATAGTTCAAATATCTAAATGAAATTTAATGATAAATTATCAACATATTTAGGCTCATACCAACTACTTCACCCCATATATACTATATACACATATATTTACCTACCCAACTACACATCAAATATGTACCTCATGCTAGTACATACCGATAATACTTAATTCCTCCCCCACCCCATCATCTTTGAATCTCCCCATGTCCCTTACCTTATTGGCTTGTAGTTGACCCACAACACCACATCTCAATATCTTCAAAAACAATATTACTCTATTATCTAATAAAAAACTATATAATAAACAATTTGCATGACTAGTTGTATTATAATTATACAACAATTCAGACAAAACTTGAGCCATAGTCCTTATATATATAGGTATTCAACAACTTCATCTATCAAACAACCCCAATTCACACTTCCTTAGCTCCCCTCTCTCTCTCTCTCTCAAAAACCAAAACAGAGTAAAAAAATAAATTAAATGGAGGTAAGTTGCATAGATCAAGAAATTAGCACAACTAGTGACTCCCCATCAACCATTTTCCCGGCGGAGAGACCCCGCCAGATGGGAAGTGGAGTCAGCGTCATAATAGACGCTGACTCCACATATGGTGTAGAAGCAGAGTCAAAAAATAATACTAGTAATAATAATAAGCTTCCTTCTTCAAAGTTCAAAGGTGTTGTCCCTCAACCAAATGGTCGATGGGGTGCACAAATCTACGAAAAACATCAAAGAATTTGGCTTGGTACATTCAATGGCGAAGAAGAAGCAGCAAAAGCTTATGATATCGCAGCACAAAGATTCCGTGGTAGAGATGCTGTGACAAATTTCAAACCCCTGTTTGATAAATATTGTCAAACAGAGGAAATTGAGATTTCATTTTTGAACTCTCGTTCTAAGGTTGAGATTGTTGATATGCTACGTAAACACACGTATAATGACGAGCTTGAACATGCCAAGAAAGTATATAACAACAATAATTTCGACAAGAATGGAAGGAGGACATGCCATACTAATGATATCGCGACTTTTTCATTAGATAATAATGAAAAAGTCGCGAACATAGCTCGTGAACTGCTTTTTGAAAAAACAGTTACACCGAGCGACGTTGGAAAACTTAATAGGCTTGTTATTCCAAAACAACACGCGGAGAGATATTTCCCTTTGGTAGCCAAAGTAAATGGAAATGGTAATACTTCTAATGGGGAATTGTTAAATTTTGAAGATATGAATGGTAAAATGTGGAGATTTCGATATTCGTATTGGAATAGTAGTCAAAGTTACGTATTGACTAAAGGATGGAGTCGTTATGTTAAGGAAAATAAGTTGAAGGCCGGAGATATTGTGAGTTTCAAACGATGTTTTGGAGTTGGAGTTGAAGATAAACAACTTTTTATTGACTCGAAGACCAGAATAATACGAGGTGAACAATTAAAAGTGATTAGATTATTTGGAGTGAATATATGCAAGGTTCAAGATGTTAGTAATAATGTTGTTGTTGAGAAAAATATGAGTGTTGGCAAAAGAATGAGGGAGAAGGAGTTGTTGGCATTTGAGTGTAGCAAGAAACAAAGGGTTATAATTGATGCCTTGTGAAATTTTCTTGTGTTTGTAATAATTTTCTTTTCCTTTTTGTACTTTGGCTTTTAGATGTTTTAATTGATATACCTTCCAATTGTATATTAGTATTACTAGAAAAAAAAATGGCTCAAAAAGAGAGCTCATCAACTATGGTGTAAACATAGATGAAAATAGAGACAACAAATTAATTAATATGAGTCTCTAGCTTTTTTATATGCTTTTTTTTCTAGCTTTTATGTCTTTCAAGTTTCATGAGTTTGGGAACTAACTATCATGCTTTATTTTTGTAAAGTATTCTTCTTGATTTACCAACACGTATATCTATGATTGGCTTTATATAACCTAACCTTTTTCATTTTTGAATTTTGTGATGTTATATTAAAGATATGTCGAATGTACTAAAATTTCATTAATTTTGTGGTTTTAAATATATCATGTTAAAATTTGAAATTAAAGAGTTGTTAAAAAGAAAAAAAATATTTTCTTTTCTAAACAGACTAAAAAAGAAAATTGGTCAAACAAATTGAAACGGTGTAGTATATTATAACCTTAATATGTATTTTTTTTATTTTTTCGGTGTCTGGTACATACATTAGAGTTCGACTAAATTCAGATTCGTGCTAGGAAGGGGATAAAACTCTTCCTAACAAAGACTCCTCCTCCTCCTCCTCCTTAAGAATGAAATAGTACTTACCACTCTACCACAATCCCTATCGATTTAACTTTAATATGCATGATTCATCATGTAATTTGGTTTCTCCAATAATCGAAAAAGTACGAATTGATGCACTGAATCTTATCCAGTTTTTGTAAAATATATATATTTCACTAAGGGACAAAATAAAAGCTGTAAATTATGTCTCGTTGGCTTTAGAATTAAGCCCTTTAATATTTGGGACTGTCAACAATGTATGACACTCATTATACTTATATTAGGAAGCACGCTTACTCTTAAAGAGTTGTAATGAGAGTCTACAACTCATCGCTCGCTCGATTCAGCTTTATTACGACTTTGACAAGCGATTGATAGGTTAATATTTTCTGCACAATATTTAAATTAAACTACGCGAAATTTTCCTCTTCCCAAACGAATAGACACAATCTTTAACGAACATGTATGATTGCACTTGTTCATGCTCAATCCAATGGCTATAAATTGTGACGCTTCGCCTCAATTAATAATCATATAGTTATGATATATATTTAAAAATCAAATATCAAAATTATCGAATCGAATTTTAAATACCTTTAACGTAACATCAACACCACATGCTGAAGGTACCATTTCTGGGACAAATTAATAGTACTGCTACACGTTTGACAATCAAAAAGATGCTGTACGGCATGTTTGTCCATTTCATCTTTTATATATTCCTTCAGAATTTCTCTTTTTAAATTTCAACCTGGTTTAAATTGGTACGAAGTTTAAGAAAAATATAAAAACTTTTTAAATTCCTAATCTAAAATAAATGATAATGTGTGTGACTATAAATTATTTATTAAGAATAAAATAAGTATATATTGCTCAACTTATTTATTTGTTTATTCTCGATTGATAATTATTTCAATGATGCAAAAAGGGAGAATAATATTGACTATATGTAATGATATAAATATTGTACTTGCATAGCTTGGCATTGTTTGTTATCATCAAAAAAAGAGAAATTGATAGAATGTGTAGGTCCAGAGTCTGCATTTTGATGATAGATAAAGATATATATATTGGAGATTGAAGATCAGTCCAGAGTCGAGAGTGAGGTTTGTAACAAAAAGAGATTTTATCTTCTTGGCAGGTTAATATAACAATTAGAGTTAACTGCTGAGTTGAGGTACTAGAGTTAATTCTTAGATTATAGACTTGTAATCTGAAAATGCTCTTTGACGTTAGTAAGGTTTGGGTGAAAATCCTACACGACGTAGATCGTGATTTTTACTCCCTACACACTTTCCTTTGTAATAATTTTTGGTTTTATCAAGATGAATATAGGCTCAAATTTTAGGTGCAATGGGTTTGTTAAGGTCATTTCGATCGGTGTATGTCGAATCTAAGATTGCCACATTGCATCGTAGTTATAAGATTAATAAAAATTCAACAGTATTAAAGTGAATCATAGGCGTAAGTTATAACTATAATTTATCTAAAATTAATTCAAATAAGTTACAAATTGATAAAGCGATCGCATTAGAATTACGAGACTCGTAGGTTTCATGCCTTCTCCAGTCAACATAATTTTTTGGAAAAATTACAGAAATTCCACATTTTAGTTTACTTATTACCATTATCCCTTATAAGTTTTACAAATCTCCAAAATCTCTCATTTTCGCACATCAGATTAGTGTATCTTGCGCATCATATTAGTGTATCATGTATAAAATGTACATCAGATTAGTGTATCATGTATAAAATGTAATGTATCTTACTTAACGATTAATGTATCTCGCATATCAGATTAATGTATCAATGCTTATATTATTGTATCCGTTTGAGGGATTTCTGTAATTATAAACTTTTAAATGATAGATTGTAATTTTGCCTTAAAAGTATGTGATTTCTGTAATTTGCCTTAAAAGTATGTGATTTCTGTAATTTGCCCTAATTTTTAATCCCAAATTTATATTCGCAAACTAAGATAAAAAGTCAATATTTCATTTTATGTGGGAATTCAAATACGGTGACTTGAAACACCAAAACTTAATTTCAAGTGATGACTTTAATTTGAATAATAAATAATATTTTTTGGAAATAGCATGTCAATTTAATTACTAAAAATAAAGGTAAAAATAAATACGTCAAGAAAGCATTGATAGGAGATGTACACCATTAGATTGATTTTTCCATTTTTAAGAATTTGAAATCTATTCAAAGATGAAGATTAAGGTAATTTACCATGGTATTATATAATTACACTATTTCTTCAAAATATGAATTTAAGGATATCTATATTAATTATACATAATTATAGTGTTTACTTAAAAAGATGAAGATTAAGACAAACTATACTAATTATACTTAATTATTCTCACCTCCAAGATAGTGTTAAAATTATGTTGAAGGCCCTATATGTATGCGTTATATGCAATGTTCCACTCATTAGAAGAATTGTTTGTAAAATGACACATTAATCTTTTAATTAATCAAAAAGAAAAGGACATTGCTTAAAAAATTCAACGTAGTTGACCATTATTTAAAATTACAAAATGTTATAATTATTTTGTGACTCAATAATGTATACTGATTGCTTTGTTAGTTTAATTAGCATATTTTCCCATTGATTTCATAAAACAACTCTTTTATTAAAATAATTTTCATTTTCAAGCATGTTTTTAATTAAATTAAAAGACATAAATAGAAGAAAAAAAATTAATACAATATGTAATAGCCATAGGTATGTTTTTTTTTTTTAATTAATAAGGATAAATTTGAGTAATTTTGTATAATTTTGCTTGATTTCAACTGATATTTTTTCGAGATGTTTAGATTAAATTCATGAATTTAGGCATCTAAGCAATTTCATAAAAGTGGAGACGTAAATTCATCTTATCAAATTATAAAGGATGTTTATATAAATAGTAAAATTTAAATTGACCAAGGAATTAATTCATAAATATAAAAGACAAAATAAAATTGTTATATAAATTAACATGTTTGGAGTATGTACTCATTGTATCTTTCTATCTCCTCTTGTTTTAGGCATGGAAAGAAAGAGTTCTCCTATAAGGAAATCTGTTGAGATAAAATTTGTCAAAGATAAACGTACTGAGAGTGTTAAAATCTCAAATATGTTGAAAACTTTGTCTAAAAAAGCAAATGAGCTTTCTATCTTATGTGGAGTTGAAATTGCCATTCTAATTTTCTTGATTGGAACTCAACCATTTTTTTTTGGTAATCCTGATGTGGACTCAGTGGTCCACCAATATTTGGAGCTCAACCAACCAACTACACCTTCGTCTTATATGAAGAAGAAAAAAAAGTGGAAGAAAATAAGGATAAAGGAAAATCTGTTGAAGATAATTTTACATATCGTATATCAAAAGATTCAAAGCTGACTGATGCAGAAAGACTTGAAAAATTAAATCAGGAGATCAAGAAACTTGAAGATCATTTGAATAAGGAAATTGATCTCTTACAAAATGCGATATGCTTTGAAGATCCAAAATTTATAGTTGAAATGGACGTAGCAAGTTCTTCGACTATACCACCTAATTGGTTGAGTCTTTAATTATAAATTTCAATATAGTATATCCAAATAATAATATTATTTTGGATGATGTTTCTTCATAATGAATTATAATAAAGAATGATATGTCTGATTATTTTGAGTACTAAAGTTTTTTTCTCCCAAGTGATACTATCATAAATTTATTATATGTTTTATGACTTGTGGGGATGAATGACAGGGTCTCAAGAAATACAAATGCATTTCAGAGAAAAAAAGAAGAAGTTAAAAACTACAAAGTTGACCAATGTCAACAATTGAAGTTAACAAGCTTGAAATTAAAGTTTTGAAGTTTCTATGGGTTCAAATGATAATTTCGAACTTAGTATTTTTCTAAAAATAAATAAAATTTATCAACCTCCTAAGGTTGGTATTCTTAATAGTTTTTAATATTTTTAAGTCTGATTTTGTTTTTTTAAATTATGGGACCAAAATTTTGAGGTTGATTTCGTCAAAATTCTGATTTTTTAATTTTACTCAACTCTGGAAGAGGATTTCTTTGGCTCAACTAATAGGCTCCGTTGGCTTATATCATATGTTATACAATGATAGAAAATTGCATAAAAACATTTATATTAATTTTATTAAAATATTTACTTGAACTTGAGATCCAAATATTATATTTACTTTTCAAGAAATAGCATTGAGTCACACATTTTTATTTGAATAAAAACATATTATATATTATGAAATTAGAGGTTTAATTTGTTAATGAAAAATAATTAAATATATTATATATTATATATTATATAGAACAATTATAATTTTTGGAGCTTCTATATATTACTATATATTACATAGAACAATAATAAGAGTATCATTAGTGCTAAGGAGATGAAGAAACCAAAGAATTTTGAATATTTGACTTTCTTAACCAATTTAAAAGAAAAGATTTTAAATATTTGACTTTCTTAATCAATTTTAAAGCAAAGATTTTAATTAGTTGACTTTCTTAATCAATTTAAAAGCAAAGATTTTAATTATTTGACTTTTTTGACCAATTTAAAAGC